CACAGTTATCTCGAACACGCTCTTACGCGAGCGGGCCAGGCCGTAGAGGAACGACAGCAGCTCCTTCCCGTGACCTGACAACAGCCGAAGGACAAAAACTTTCCGTAAAGAGTTCGTATTTTCGAACAAAAACCTTTCCAGTACCGTTGAAGGGCCAGAGAAGGCTACGAGTACACAGCGAACGTCGGGACTCGGGAACTGCTGTTTGATTTTCCCTGAGACACCCTGCTTAAACCGTGAGGTAGGCATGTCGTCCCACAGCCAAGCACAGACCGCACTCCTCACGTTGGCATGGGGGCAAACCTACGGAGGCCGAAGCAATACAAAGGGGGGTCCATGTTCCACGTTTTGTCTGAGGTCGCGGGAAAGCACACCTGCACTACAGTTGTCCCGAGGCCGAGGTCAACCTTACCAAACAACGGTGCACGAAAAACCACGCCATTGCTTGGACGTACGGGGGCAACCGAAGCTTCGAGCGCTCCCTGGAACTCACCTTGTCGTTGGAACTGAGGCAGAACCAACGCCTGGCAGATCCTCAGGCTGACACCCTTGACTGGGTTCCGGAAGCCGAAGGCCGTGAAGTATCCCGCCAGCGCGGCGGGTCTCCATTTCTCGCCCAAGACCCCCTGTGGCGGTTCTTCCTGGAACAAGCAGAACACGTCCCAGCGGTCGTCCGTCAGGTCGATGGCATCGGCGGCTGCGCGCAGAAAGGCGCGCACGCTCACGAGGTCAAAGGGTGTGCTTGCTTCATTTTGCCCATAGCAGAGCGCGAAATCGGGGGGGGAGGGGGGGGGTGAACCGCGGGATAATCTAACTTCCTGTCGTCGACGCTCTCACAGGGGAGGCAAGGGAAAGCGAAGGAAGGTTGAAACGGCCTTCATGGTAGTGTTCCCCGTAAGAGGATTGTTCCGTACTCCATCATCGTCTGTGGGCGAGTACTGTAGCTGTGAGGTCGTTCTGGTTGAAGAGGTGAAGATGGTCCAATCACACCGCACTTCCAGACACAAGCGAAAGCGTATGTGGCAAAAGAGGCCAGAGAGACGTGTACACAGAGGCAAATCGAGAAGCTAGCGGGGTTCCAAAGTTCAGCCCTCCTCACTCTCAATAAACCAGGGCGCAAGGCACTGGGCCCGCGCGTGGTACTCGCACGCCCCGGAATCCTCCCCGGTGGCTTTGTATACCGAGAACGTTGTCCCTCCCTTTGAGTACTCGTAGACGCGGGCACCAGGTGGCTTGAAATCCTATTAGGTGTGCACCCGAAGAAATGGGAGGAATAATGAACAACGAACGAATCCGAATTGATGTGATGCTGTTCGAGCACCACCCCTTCCATCAGTCATGCGTGTTGATTTTCCGCACACGTTCACGTGCTTTTCGGCAGGTTTTGAACTACACAGCCCACTGCTAGAGCGCGCGCCGAAAGAAACACACCGCTTGATGCGCTGTCCACAGCAGAGCAGCATTTCTGTTGTCCCAAACATACAGAACACGAGTTCGATATACAACAGCAGTACAAGAAGAGGTTCTTCGAGCAGATCACTGCGTTAATTGTAGCACAACACACGCACTACTGCTTTAGGTTGATCTTGCGGTGGAAACGTTCAACTGGACACCACCCACTTACTCTTCGTCTCCCTTCCAGCTCTTCGTAGAACTTCCGCTCATCCGTCGTGGAGCTTTCAGGGGGGAGCGCCTTGGACAGACCAGACAATATAGCGGCCGTCCTGGGGTATATTGAGTGCGATAGGTGACAAGGCAGGCAAGACGCCGGCACGATCGATTGGGTGCAGCAGCAGCAGGGATGTGAAAGGAGAAACAAGCTAGACGGGAAACATGCCGGTCGCCCTCAAGGACCGTAGGCAATAGGCAATCAACTTTCCTTGGTGCAAAGGGACCGCACGTGTTACCGTCTTGCATGCATCAATCGACGTCGTGGCGTCGCATCTACGTATGCGCATACACTGCAACAAGAGACGGGGAGTGGTGCGGGGGACGTAAGGTTCATACCACAAACAAGTAGGAACTGATGCCTGCCAACCTCGCTCAGCAACTCATGATGCAGGTGGTGGCGCCAATTGTGTACGGGAGTAGTGCCATACCTGCTGGCGTCGTTTTCGCTCGTTTGTATCTTGACCAGGAAGTCAAGCGACGTTGGCGTGTAGAAAATCCGGATGCTGACAGCTCCGTCCTCAAACCCCTCGATACGCTCCTCTTCGAACAGCTGGTGTGTGAAGTCTGGGCGGCACCCCTCATCTTCGTTAACCCCCTCCTTCTCGTCGGCACCAGCCGTCTTCCGGCCGATGGCTGCCGTTTTTCGTCCGTTTTTCGTCCGGGATCGGAGGGCACACGTCGCACATGAGTGATGAAAGAGAACGTATATGTACTTGCAAATCGTCGCCTGTCTCCGAAGACTTCGATACTCAATCACCCTCACGTATTTCGACATGTTTTTTTCTCGGCATGGAGACATCCTGGTTATACACATAATCTACAGCAGTACCAGTGGTTCTAAACCTCGAACACCCACAAAGGAAAGTCTACATGTTGAGAAGCACGAAAACCACTTATTTAGTCTATTAGTCTTGGTCATCATGCTTCTCAACAAAAGTTAATGCCCGAGTCCCGTCAACTTTTTCTTCTGAACAATACAACGCGTGTATGCTACACGCAGCTAATCATGTGCATCGGACTGCCCATGAGGTGTAGACTACCGCCGTACCGCCGTACACAGCAGTATTAATTGCATGTTAGCCCCCCGACCGAACTTCAAAACTCGACTATTCCGCAGCAAAAACAGGAAGTGCGGTGCCGATGATGGCGACATTGGACTTGTCTCCTCCAGGGCCTTCCGAAAACGTGTGACTACCTGTTTTGGCGCTCTCTTCGCGTGGAGTTCGGCGAACACACGGGCCAGGGGGGTGTGGTATCTTGCGTAGTAAATTCAAAATTCAGTGAAGATCGCAAGACGAGCAGAAATCACAGGCAAGAGATTCTCGGCATAGAGACAGAGGATGTATGTACGCTATTGATAAAATTCAATCCCGTTTCTTACCACTACAGAGCCTAATAGCGTCGTTGGCACTACAAGATGGTGGTGCGGGTGGCGCCTTCTTTGAACTAGCTGTCCCGGACGTGTTGGTCCGATCTGGGAGCACGGAGTCGTCCCATCGAACACGCTTCGCGGGAAGCAAGCTGGGTCCGCCGCTACTCTGCTTGTCCATAGCGGGAGAAGCACCGGACCTAGGGTGTGTGTGGCGTGATATGTGTTGCAACGGGCGTGGAGAGTGCTGAGCGACCGTGATTGCTGAGCAGGCCCAATTTTTGGGCCCAGCACCCAGCACAGACTCTCGGGGGCAACGCAAAATCGCAAAACCACATGTAAGAGAAAAATGTTCCACATGGAGGCTGGCATTCTTGAAATGCACTTCAGAAGAGATCTGCGCACGCTCGCAACACGCGAGAGACTTACAGCAGCTTGTTGTACATAGAGCTATGTGTATTACTGAGGCCGCGATCACCGACAGGTGATACGACCAAGGTTTGTCTGGATCGCCTCTAGTCTAGGTAGTGGTGTACGCGGTCACATCAAAGAGAGGTAAGAGATGAGAAGCCACAGAAAAAATTACCACCATCGTAATTACTTGGAATTTGTAGTGGAAAAGAAAAAAGGCAGACGACTTCGTCATGTAGACTACCATGGGCGCCATCCGCAACTGACCGTCATGAAATTTTAGTGGGGGGGGATGGTGATGGACCATCCACGGGTAAGGTCTGATTTTTTTTGGTGTGTTCATAATGCTCTATTCGACCACCCCCTGAGATTTGGGGGAAAGTCGTTGCAAGTACACCTGGGTTTCAATGGGGTGTGCTGTCTCCTGCAGGAAAAACTCTCAAAACGCCAAAAAGCGGGGATGGCCCGATAATATCCCCCCCTCTTAGATAGCTGTGATCGGCCTGAAAATTTCAACGTAGGGTTAAATCGGGTCGAGATTTGCGAATCCGTTTTCAGGTTTTTCAAGTTCATTCGTCGATCGCATTGAGTTACCGCTATCCCAAAACGCCCAAATGGCGGGGATGGAAGGTTAGCATCCCCTCCCCTCGCAACCTTAAATACCCGGTCCTACGGGCTCAAAGTCTCACTTTTGGGCAATACTGGTNCAACGTAGGGTTAAATCGGGTCGAGATTTGCGAATCCGTTTTCAGGTTTTTCAAGTTCATTCGTCGATCGCATTGAGTTACCGCTATCCCAAAACGCCCAAATGGCGGGGATGGAAGGTTAGCATCCCCTCCCCTCGCAACCTTAAATACCCGGTCCTACGGGCTCAAAGTCTCACTTTTGGGCAATACTGGTGTGGGGATCACGATGCTTCCATCAGAATGACGCAGTTCGGTGTTGTCTTTGAGAAATAGGTGTACCAAAGTGCCCTTTTCCTCAAGGATGCAACCACAATCTCGTTTCCTAAATTTGCTCTGCCCACCTGAGTTTTTGTCTGGGCAATTTTCTGAGTGGCTCTACCCCCCCGAATTCGGCCAAGCGGAATCGATTGCCGAGGTGAACAACGTAAACAAATATCGGCAATACGACGAGAAAAAAAACGAAAGCAATCCCGAACCGATTATTTTTTGTTCAACTTTTTAGACGCCGTTTTTTTTTTAGCGTTTGAAAGCGAGACAAAAAAACGATTTCTGAAAATTTCGTTTTTTCAGCTGGGGAGAGCCCATGACCATCAGTTGCGGGTCGCGCCCATGTTATAGATTATGTATCTACAGTACATATTTATACTAAGACTACTTGCTGTGGGAAACTTGCGGGCCCACGCACGAATTAATATTCGACACGAAAAATGATGAATCATTGGCGTCTATCCCGATAGCATGTTGAACTTTGCATACAGCCGGCCATATGGTCTTTCTCCTTCCTGATCCTGCGTGCTGTAGTAGTACAGCAGTGTACCGTGCATACGCGAGAGATGCCAGAGGAACTCTGGGTCAAACCCCTACAAGTACTTTCGAGACCGCCCCACTCACCCTCGGATTATTGCAGATCATTGCCGCGCCCACCGCAGCCTCGGCCCACCATTGCCTCGGCGCAGCAGAGCATCTCTAGGACCGCCGGCCCCAGAGCTGGAGGCAGGCCTCGTCCAAAATCAAGTACACATTTAGTTCAATCATTCTAGGCAAGAGCAATCATCAACAATTCACGAAACATTTACTAAAATACTTTCACCTCCCTCCACATGTGCATCTATTCTGACCAAACTGGTGTGTCTAAATGTTGAAGGTCCTCGAAAATACAACAAAAACAAAACCAACAAGAACACTACCGCAGCAAATTGCCAGGGGATAGACTAAGAAGAGAGGTTAAAGTTTATCGGAGCGATCGTTCTGACAGGCAACTGTGTGTTGCATCGTATTGTGCCCAGACGTCAATCACGGGAAAAGTCAAATCAGACATACGTTCGGATGGTCGGAAAATGACACCTAACTTCTACTGTGAAATCGGTAAATCTATATCAAATGCGGAGATTACGTGCTCCGTAGCTGCGCTATCTCTATCGTGTCGGTATTTGGGCCATCGCAATACCTGACGGTCGAGTCACAGAACAGCCCCTTTCGATCCTACTGCCCATACGCTCTCGCAACGTCTCTTCCGAATACTGCCTACCTCGACTGTTCTCTTCTGAGCCCCTCCCATCATTACTAATATGCCCATCACCATCGGGTACAGAGTACCTGGAAGCCTTTGAAGATGACACAGCAACCGTTGAACAGTAGTCGCACAGAGGTAAAATGTCCTACTGACGGAGGCTCTGTCATGCTGAAGAGATAGACCAGCTACAATCCCCCTCTTCAGACACCTCTTTTTCTGCCCACATACATCCAGAACGACCTCCACTTCTCCACCTCCACTTCCCAATCCTTGCACTCCTCCAACAACGGTAGCGCGATCTCGGGCGGCGTGAAAGAAACGCACATCCAGATCCCGCCGGGACGTAAAACTCTAACGATACTCCGCGCCATTCGCGGAAGGAACCAATCAAACGCTTCGGAGCAGGCGATGGCGTCCAGGGTTCCCTTGTCGATGGCCGTATCGAAGGAAGCGTCGTCGAAGGTCAGGCTGCATGCGTCCATTACCAGCCACTTGACTCCGGGGCGGCTGGCTGAAGACGGCGAAAGGCGACCTTGCTCGATGCAGGGTTTGCTGAAGTCGATGTTGGTGATATTTCTCCAGCCGTGGTCGTACATGCTGCTCACGTTTACGGGGTACGAAAAATTGTGACGTTTCAACATTCTATTGCGCATGAATGTTCAGGAATACATTGTATTTGAGTAAGTGCGACACCGCAGTACTGTAAATATACGTACGCTCTGTACTTGCTCGATACGTACGACGTTCAGGGAAAGAACAAACTTGTTGGCGACGGTTTGTTACCCATGGAAAGGCACATTGCATGCAAGGGTTCTTTCATGTACGATTCTCGACCGTTTACCACTCAACGGTATTCGACAACACGCTGGGGTATATCCCACACACCAGCGTACAACTACACACACACCATGTGCAACGACGATGCGCAATCACCCTCGGTAGGTGCTGGGCTCCCCCCCCTCCCCCCCCTACGTCTCTGGAAGTGAAAGCACTAAAGATAAATGAAGTCATTCGCAGCTGTCATCCGTATGCAAGGAAGCAAGCACAAGATGCCGAACACCCCTAGCAAGGTGCAGCGCACCCTCAATGTAACTCGCCGAAAACCTCATGGCGTTTCGCACTTGGCAATGTACTACCCTGGTCCGGTAGGTCCGGTGAAAACCCGACGTTCTTCGTCCCGGCTTTGTAGGGATGAAAGGTCAACGGTCTAACGACTACGTTATGCACGACTATGGGTACCCCCTTCCCCAGGGACAAAGCATAAGGTCAAGTTGAGGACTGGGGACATTGCCTTCGAGAACGTAAATAAAGATTTAGGAAGGTAGACGATGACGAAAACTTGAATGAAAACGCGGCTCCCAGTGGGAAGACCGGGTTCATGTAGTTGCAGAATGTCCGTTCAAAAGGAGAGAGGAACATACATGAAAGAGAAACGTGCATGAAAGAGCTGAGAAAAGTAGAAGGAAGTAGTGAGAGATGTTTGAGGCATCGAGTGACCAGGAAAATAGATAGTGACTTCCTGGGGCACAAGAGGGCTAAAAGGGTGGGAAGTGAAAGTGATTAGGCTAGGGAAAACACGTTTGAGCCACCTTTGGCAAAAGTATGAAGAAATGATTGGGCATCGGTGATCGGTCCTGTGGGAACAACGCTCCAACCTCGCGAGGACGTGTGCTCAGAGGACGCGTGGTCATGGTGTAACCACTAAGGCATGCAAAACATGACAGTACACCCCCCTGCCCCCCGTTCTCTTTCTTGGGCGGTGTACGACGGTGGATGATGTTTGTGCGGGAGTGGGAGCACATGGGCATGCGCCTTGCGTACGAATAGAACGCTTCTCGCCAACGTTGGTTCCGGTTCACCCAAGTCCGGATTTGCTAATAAGAACAGTTATACTTTTGTGTTGGCTGGCGGTTGGGACTGTTCTTTCACCTTCTGTTTCCAGGAAGCTGTTCGATTTTGACAGGCTTTCATGTTCTCTGCGGCAGTTGTGACATTCTTGCCACAATGGTAGTACGTAGAACAGCGAAGAACACGTTGATCAGGTTCAACAGTTTGAAAAACAGTTCCGGTCAAATTCCATCGAATCAAAGAACAGAACACAGACACGTGCAGAGGGCGCATTTCATAGTTGCCGGTGTTCCGCGTTTGGGTGGGCACGCGCCCACGCACGCGCACATCCTCTCTATTAACATGTAGTCTAAACGTCTAAACCGCCGAGTAAAGCGGGCATACCATTCAATCTCAGAGGTGGGACGCCGTTCTGGCTCTATTAGCAGCTGGTACTGGTGCAGGTGCTGTCGCCGTCTATCTGTCACTCTCATTCCATTCCTTTTTCAACAAACACCTTGTGGTTCTCTATGCATACTACTCTACGCACTTTTCGAGTTCACATCCTGCTGCTGCTGCTGCTACTGCTGCCATACTGCTCGGGTCTTGGCTACGCGCTCGTTGTGGGTTAGATACCTCCACGGCTCTCACGCTTAGCGAGGCACAGACAAACGCTGTGGTCGCTAATAAGCACCCACGACCCATTCCCCATCACAGCACCCGCTCGAACTCGTTCAACTGAACATAGAACCACGTTTCTGCATGATCATATAACTGACGTGGTGCGAAAGACTAGGTGCACATCGGGAAATCCTTCCCCAGATGCTCAAGAACTTTCTTTGGGCTGTAAGACTGCGTTCTCGCGTCAGTATCAAGCACCATGTCATGTCAAGAAGCAAGTACACACGTCAGCATCGTGTGTGAACAGCTGCAGCAGCCGCAACCAGTAAGCAGAAGCTTGTAGCTTTAAGCAGTCGGGCCAAGTGGTGGCGGTGTTAGCAGAGGTGCAGAGAAATGCAGACCGTGCGGACCTTCGAGTCTCAGGTTGGGACTGACGTTGGCATTGCGGCATACATATGCATATAACACACATATGAACATGCGTGCGGCATGCGGGTTTCAACCAAGAAAAATACAGAAAATACTAAAGACAAACGATTTTTTTAAATGAAAAGAATCTGTACCCATGAGGCGAAAATGATACGACACTACAGCTGGCCGGTTTTACGTAAGATCATCAGGACACTGGTGGGTAGTTGGTTCTCCGGGTGTAGCGATTCTCAGGTGTAGAGGCGCCGAGATGGGTGAGCTCTAGTTGCGAGGGTCGGATGCCCTCAAGAGATCTATCTGCATGTGGGCGAAACAAACAAGCTGTTCGCGGCATGTTCTTGCAGCTAAATTCCTACAAAAGGATCTTTACATCGAAGGAAAAGCTTGCCGAGCTCCCCACCACGTAGTCTATCGATATAGTCTTGCATACATACGAGATATGTTGTTCCTCTGTTTGGTTTTTGCGTGTTCTTGTATCACCCCTTGCCGCGGTGCTCTCTTTACCCCACTCCGGAGGGAGACCTGTATCTCAATTAATATTGTCGTCAAATCCGGGTTTGCTCCTGCCTGTAAGATGTAAAGAGTGGACCGGCGGGGGTTCTGTTGTACCCATACCTAATCAAGAGTAAGCCTTCTTTGAATCTTCGGTTCGGCCTGACTTGATTCTGAAGTTATGTGAGGTGCGCAACCTCCGATAAGACCTACCCTTCGAGCCTCGACGTACATTCACAGCAAAGATTCATTGCTGCCGATACAACCACACGTTTGCCCCAAGGACGGGCTCTCCACTACGTGGAGTATTCACTAAAGCGAGCCAGCAGTACGGAAGACGCGAAGCTGTGTGTTACCTGCGTGTGCCGACGGAGAGTTCGGAGTTCGGAGAGCTGTGTTGGAGCAACATGCACCGCAGTTTACAGTAGTGGGCCCTCTATAGTGCCGGGGTGTGTCAAGAGATTTTACCTGCACAATACCGGGCATCTGCACTATTCAGGATCGAGGAATATATAGGTTTTAGAATACGTACCAGCTAAAATCTGTGCAGCAGATTCACCGGCACTACTATACCGGGCACTAGCACTATTCACCCTGCACTTTGGAGGGCCCAGTACTGTATCCGTTAGTCCTTTTTTCTCTTCCGGGCTGTCGAATGCGCCGGTCATTTCATGTGTGGACGGCCTGTGGCCGCCTGTGGCCGAAGGCCCAGAGTCTATTTAGGGTCGAAGAGTTTGGCGACGAGTCAAGACTTCAAGCCAAGAGCTAACGGTATCGGGTTTGCAAGAAAGGGTGCATCAGCCGGGACCTGAGTATCCATTGGCGGGTATTGTATGACCTTCTGACGTACTGAATCCCGACCGCACCGGCGTACGGTGCCGTGTTCACCAATCAGCGTGCTTCGGACTGAACCAAGCTCGTGCAGGCTGCGGGGGGATTATCGTAATGTTGTCCGGTAGTCCTGTAGCAGCAGGAATTCATCGCCGTGTCTCAGAGAGTCAGTGCGAAGTACAAGTACTGGATTGGAGGTAAAGAGAGGTACAGATTTGAACAAAATAACATCGACAACAACTGCGCCCACCTTTCCCATAATGTGCTCGTCCCGCAGCCGACGTTCAGGACTGCAGCCTCCTCTCTACCAGCTGCAGTATGCTTAGTAGCAGATGGACCCCCAGCAGGGAGCAATCGTTCGACCTCCTCCACAAACGCGTCGCCCTCAACATGCCACTCCGACACTGCCTGTTGACCGCTATCATCTTCTCCCGAAGAATACACTTTATTCCAATACGCTGACGACGAGAAATCTTGCATGCTTACCCGCAGCGGGAGGCGTGTCCCGCCGCTCCATCCGCTGCTGATTCTTCGACTGCTGCCCTGGACAACCACCGGTAACAAGGTTTTGGGAGGAAAGGTCCGATGGCCTGCTGCAAGGAACGCCGTCAATGGTGGAGGTGGGACCATGATATTCGCGGCTATGGAAGGAAGCCTTCCTTCGCCGATTCTGGATTTTTTGACTGCAGTGGACGGGGAGGTTGCGGCTCGGCAAGACTGTCGGCTTTTAAAAAATCGTCGGTAGTAAACACTTTGCGCTTTTCGAATTTGAGATGCACACTTGTGTGCACTTTGTAAATGCCGACCCCGCTGGAATGAATGCCATACTTGTTCGGAGTTCTCGAGTGTCGAGCCTTCAACGCGTCGTGAAAGGAGCTAGCTGTAATTGTACGTTCGGCGAGGATCAATAGAAGAAAAAGCGGCAACAGCAGTCATGCACCATGCACGACACAGCGCTAGAGCGTGTCCACCATGACGATGAAACCGATATTTTGTCCCGTTTTTTTCGCTCGCCACATCTCGCCGCGTTTTTCTCGCGCCCGGAGGACAATTGCGCACTTATCTGTGCGACGCATAAACTATACCCGCAGCTCCGATGGAAGAATCATGGTTATCTATAGATGATGCAAACTCAGCCGTGGGATAGCGGTGCGTCAAAAGATCCCAACACGAAAAATGGCACAACCAGCGGTGGTCGCTGCGGAAGATCTCGAGCACAGCAACGAGTATGGCGACGAAGGATTTGAAAGCGACGTGCCCAGAAGCCGCCCCAGCAGGGATGGCCGAGAAAGTTCTGAGAAATGCGTAGAGGAATCCGTTGTCTTGGGGTTAGACACTGGCCTGGATGATGCCGATTTGCAGGTGCACGGGGTAGTAAAAGAGTGGTGCATGATGTGTGTCCACATCATATGTATCTGAGATGAGGTAGATCAAGTCGAGACTGCGTACAGTAGTTTCGCCGCGTGTGCTTGTGTGTGCTGTACTGTAGGAACAAACATCAAGTGTACGAAGAGGCTCTAACTAATGCCGATGTACCCACACACCCCTTGGTTGCGCCATGATCGGAGCACTTTGGTAAAGTGACTCTATCGTCGTGTGGGGTGTCGCCATCATTCTTCAGTCCGTGTCCAACGCAGGTCTCCGCGTTGGTGTGGGAAAATGGGTGGTTGTCCGCGACATCACTCTGCATAGATAATCTACATGACCAGGTCAATCATTGTAGACTGACTACAGATTACAAGGCCTAACCCTAATGACACAATGGTATCGTAGTAGAAGTTCTGGATGGTAGCAAATGTGGCGATCTTGATACCTTAGGAACTTCAAACGTTTGAGGAGTGAATCTACTTAGCATTTTTCCCTCTTCACTACTACGACTGAGGACGACTATCGGTGAGGAATACGAGCCTCCGACTACTGCTGTATATATAGGTGTATCAGTTGTGCCGAACATGTTTCCCGGTCGACAACACCAGACAGTAGTCGGCAGGCATGGTTAAATAGTAGTCGGATACTACGTGTAGTCGAAAGGACGCACAAAATCATGTAAGTGCCTGGGAGCGCCGATTCTCGTGCCCTTGCCCATAAGCGTGCTCAAAACTACATACCTGATGCTCGGGGCAACATCCTGTTCATCCGACGGCTGACACACTTTTACAACAACGCATTGGTTTACTGATTCGAACATCATTCTCTTTCGTCGTGCAACACACCGAGATCTCTGCCAGTAGCAGTGACGCTGGAATTGGTGGTAATACTTCGGTACCCCTCGCACGGCAGACGGGTTCCGAACTGGCTCAAGGGGAGCAAGAGCTGAACAAGACCCAAGCCCAACGCCTTGTCGAAGGGGAAAACGCGATCGACGAGGAGGGAAAAGGGGTAGCGTACAGAAATTCACAAGGGGGTAGGACGGAAGGCATGGACGACCGAGAAGGAAGCGAAACCGGTTTGAAGGAGCGGGATTTGCCGTTCCGAGTCTCAACAGATGGCGATGGCGACAATGACGACGGCGCTCGCGAGAACCCAAGCCTCGACATGAATTTCGATAAAGCAGTTTTTTCTCCAGACGACGACAGAAACTTTCCGCCAGAGAAGTTTCTCGGCCGAACGGGTAGCGTAGAACTTAGCAGCAACGACTTGTCTTCACCACAACCCTTCGGAGCGCCCGAGAAAGAAGAGCTCCATGTTGGTGGTGAGGTGCAGCTGGAGCAGCAGTTGCCGCACAAGCCCCACGGTGATCGGTGCGAGACTAGGGGGAGGGAAAAAGAACGCGATATTCGAGGGGCAAGATCGCGAAATTTCAACCCGAAATATCGAAGCCAGGTTAGATTGGCCTATCTACGGAGGAAATACAGAAGATACGATACAGCCGTTGGTCTAGTGTTGTCGTTTACCTCTCTCACCGAGATTAAAGCGGGATCGACAAAATATATCGCCATTTCCTCACGTACAACATACCCAAAATGTAAAGCCAGGCTACCGCCATACCTCTCCGCTTCGTACGGCCATCAAACTCTTGGCGGCCAAACAGGAAAGCGATGGGCGAATTAGGCTGCGAGCAAGCAGCCAAAGCCGTGCGAACGCCAGGGGGGCGGCGAGCATACGGCGGCAGCGACAGGAGCGCTTGATTCAGCAGCTCACGCGTGACAACGGGGTGTTGCAGCGCAAAGTAGCTGGCTACCAGCTTGCGTTGCAGGTTAGAAGCCCGTGCGTAGGCCTGAGAGTGGACAGTTTGACGGATCGACTGGGCATCTGTCCGGTACGGAGGACTCAGCTGACACTAACCGCTACAACCCCGTGACGTATTGCAAGTTAGAATATCAAGCGAAATTTTCTCATGCCTCTTGATGACCGGACGGCCCGATATACCGCCCAATCAGCTCGATGGCGTGCAAAACTAGACCACACACAAGTCATTGGTGAACAACGTCTTCCACGACAGCGCACCAATAAAAATGGTAGGCTTCATCACAACCCTCCTCCTCCACTCACAGATTGATGTGTAACCCCCCTCTCACGTCTCCGTCTATCCTCCGGTGCATATTCCCTCCGACGACAAACCTTCAACACGGACGCGGCCGAAAACCCCCCCCCCCCCGACAACGGCAAATAAACGGGAACAGTTATCCGCAGATGAGGACGACTTCTCCACGAGCCCGTCCTTCTCTGCCGCCATGCAGCTGCAGCAAGCCGCACCACCGGCCTTCCCGCGCGGTGGGGGTACGCCCGCGCCATCCCCCCGCGTCGCCAGGGGCTGGACGCACCGAAATCCACCGCCGCCTGGCCGCATCTCTCCTGTCGAGCGCAACCTCTCGTACACTACCCTAGTGCGGCAGCTTGACATGGGTGGGAGACAGGCGAGGACGCTGAAGCGGGAGAACGAGGCTCTAGGGGCGAGGGTGAATGAGCTCGAGAGCGGGGCGGTCCTCAGAGCAACGCAGTCAAGGCTCTCAGAGCGGGACGAAGTGAGTCGGCCAAGTGCACGTTGAGAGTATAGCGGCCGACGAAGTGAGTCGACCAAGTGCACGTTGAGAGTTCATACAGCGGCCATGGCAATCGCCAACGAACGCCTCATGTATGATATGCTATTGACAAAGGACGTGATCACACGGACATCGGTGTTGAATCTGGAGCAGTCCTTCGCCTCCACCCATCACTCATTTTCCGTCAGTCGTTGTTGGCTCTCTGTGCATATCCCAATCAACCAGGAAATAGTGGCACTCCGAGAGGAACTGTCCGTTATGAACCGACTTGCTCGAGCTCAAGACCGCAAGTTCGAGGGATGCCACGGGTACGCCCTCGCTCGTCGACTGTGGCTAACAGAGGAGGAGCTACGGACAGCTCGCTCAACCATATCCACACTGGGAGCCGAGGTATGTCGCGATCCACCGTGCGATTCGCAGTCACCAAACCTCGGAAGCACTTGGGTAGCATACCAATCGCATCGTGTTGTTGATTTTTGACCGGGAACAGAAAAATAAAAGCACTTGGCACAGAATCTGTGCATGTCGGCTTGCCACACTTGCCGGATAAGAGTCTATACATAGACGTTGGTGCGAGAAAACTCACTTCTACAGATTTTATTCGCGAAGTCGATTGCGTGCGGGGCAGGGGTTTCAACTTGCGAAGAAACGAAGAGGTTCTTTTTCACGTGATATCACAACTAACTGTGAACGGCCGATTCTGAACAAGTACAAGGGGAAATGGTCACAGGTTCAAGGACAGGATCCACGGCTTACACCGTCACCAACACAACGAGGCCCTCATTGCTAATACGCGATTCAAAACTCGCTCCAGGTGTATGGATTGCGCCAGCTCCGAAAGACACAAAGCCAGGATCGACGCCCTCGTAACAAGATAGTAGCGGCAGAGTCAACCCCTGACAACAACCACTCAGACACGGGGACGCAACAACGAAGTCCAAGGCGGCCGTTGCGCCGCAGGAGAGCGAGAAACCCAGACAACGCTGCGCCATATGCCCGAATAGCACGGCAGGAGCAAGGAGATAGAAGTAATGTCACCCAAAGGGGGAGTCGGAGCCCAACCGCCGAAGATTTTGGTCTTACAGCAGTGGAGGCGACAGGATCGGTCAGCGGTAGTGGTAGGGTGGCTCGATCGGGTGACGAGAATTTCCCAGCTGTGCAGGGTCAGGAGACCAAGCAGCAAATGGCGGACGTTAAGGCGGAGATGCTAGAGCGGGCGTTGGCCAATATGCGAAAAAAGGCACGAACTGTTCTTGACGTGGTTTGGCGCTTAGATGGCGTTGTTAGGTGAAGTAAGAGTCCTTTGTTTTCGACACTTGGTATCAGCGTCTGGTCCAACATTCCTCTTTCAATACGTCCGATTCTACAGACCGGTACTAGCTCGATTTTGGTCCACAAGCGGCACCTGGGTTCTGAGGCACTAATTCGGGATTTCAGACTTTGTCTCAGCGTGCCGTCACCGGTCGTGCGAGATTCACCGTGTAGCGACTCACAACTTTGCCTTCGTCGTGTATGAACTCGCGTTCAGACAAGTACAAGGAACGGCCGAAAGAACTCAGTGACCCCCTGAAAACGACAGTTCTTGCTGCTATTTGTGTTCAGGCGAAGGGAGAGCTCGAAGCGGCACGAGTGGAAATCGATGGGCTTAAGGAAGACAAGGCCGTCCTAACCCAGGCACTCGAAACAAAGGCGAGGGAGATTCGGATGCAACTGCTACAGGTATGATATGCGGCGTCGAAGGCAATACTCTTCCTATGGTTCATTGGCCGGTGGTGACTGGCCGCCGTGTTGTCTCTTCAAGTGTTTCGACTCGAACATACCCCATATACAACTTGTTTGGCTATCTACACCTCACCCTGGGTGCAAATAAACCGGGGGAAGGCGCGTCCAGGCGCCCAAATGCTCTAACCCGTACGTTCAGCTTTGCCCAAGCAACGGCATGGACTCCGCTTCCGCCAACCAGAACCCGATGGTACCCGACGCAGAACAAGGTCTTGCTTTCTTCCGGCCGCAACCACATAAACCAGAGACCCGACCCCCACCCCTCCGCGTACAGGTCAATCGCCTCAAGCGAGAGATCCAACATCTCTCCGCCGGGGCGATTAAGCTCGAAGAGGCGAGTTGCGTGGTCGCAGCTGCCAGTTTTCCGTTGAGAGCGCGAGGAATTTCTTCGGCAGCCGCCGCGGCCGGTGAAACGTCAGCATTGGCCGTGACGAAGTTGCACGAAGGCCGAGCGAAGTCCGCTGTCTACAGCAGGCCCGATGCTGGTGGTGGTGGAGCTTCGATGAATTTGTTGGACCGTTCCCAGCCTCCTCCTCGCCCGGATCGTTGGTTGAGGAGCGAGCGGGAGCCATGGGGTGCCCGGGCCCGTCTCTCGGGCCAGTTCTCACCCATGGGGTGGAATCGAGTCTGGGGAGGCGATGGGGCTGTTACCGCACCCGCCGCCGACACTGGAACTCCTGACGCGGCTGGTGAAGCAACAGCCAATGGAGCACCGCCAGCTGCAGCCGCCGTGGCTGGGGAAGTTGTGAGTGGCGCGTTGGGGCGAGCCTTGTCAGGATTACAAGCTGATGAAGCAGCGAAGAGCGCTGACAGGGGCGATGGAGGTGTGGGTGTGAAGCTGGGTTCAATAAAGGGAAAACAGGAAGAAGTCGTGGCCAAACCGGAGAAGGTCGAGGATATTGCGGCGGCGGCCGTAGGGGGTGAGGAAACACATTTCCACCCTTGTCCATTGGCGGGGCTGATGGACATGTCAGACCCTCCGCTGCGTAGCCATCGGCGGAGCTACTACAATGAGGATGACGGGAAGGTGTACAGTATTCCGCGTACTAGCGATGATGTGACAGCTGCGGAACTAACAGAGGTGCCGAGGGATGATGAGCGATCTATGTGCGTCGTCGACTTTCAGGGGATTGTGCGGCATGGGGTAGGCTGTGCGCTGAGCCAACTGGCACCACGGAGTGCACGGGTTTCGTCGGCGACCTCCAGAAAACAATTGCTCAATAGCACGAGTGCTGCTCCTGGTCAGGACCCGGACCAAGAACGGTTGCTTCTACCCGGAGAGAATCCTTTGTCGATAGGCATATCTGTCCGCACGTGGCACAGAGACAGCACCTCGAGCTGGGACCCTACTGGGGAAGGAGCAACTGGTGAGGGGGGAGGCTGGCGCGATTGTTGGATGCACCGGACACCGTACCGTACGGTTGCTGAGTCCTGCGCTCACCGTCGCCGGGGCGAATGACGTAGAAACGTTCCCCGCACGAATTTGCTCAGCATGGCCGTAAAAGCTCTAACCCAAGTTTCACCTGACCAGTAACGTGGTGGGCCAACGATGTACTTGCTTGCTCTTGTAAATATGTGACGGCAATGGCAGGTGCGTGTCATATCGCCCCAACGTAGCACATTGAAACCATCCGCCAACGAAGTGTCATCTGGCGGTTTCGTTTGCCACGTGCTCCTCCCCCTTCCCATTCGTCTCTTCCAGCACGACTATCAGTTGGGAGTAAGAGGTCTCACCGGATGTCGTCGGTGTCTTTGTCGGAGGGAGGGAGGTTGACGCCAACGATCAATCTCGCGAGGCGCCCTACTCATTTTTCCGTTGAATCTGTACGGGAGGTTGCGTAAGGAAGGCCGGGAATCTTTCGCCTCATGGAGAACCAGGTACTCGCTTGTTGTTGGAAATCGATGGCCCTGACTGAAGAGATGTTGCCATGTTGCTGCACACACCATACGTTAGTATCGATGCCGGCTGGTGGATTTACGCTACCATGAACATGCGTGAATGCCGAAGCGAGAGCGAGAATGGGGAATCCGCCGTGGATGATGTCACACGTCGACCAGCGATGATTGGCCAATTCAGATATTCCGTCCAAAAAAGTTGGCCAACTAGAAAACTGCGGGCACCTGAAACACTTTCACGCAGGACTTGCACGGAAAACCACAGATGCCGCAACAAGCACTAATCTTTCTCCTTGTCACTTCTCCAACTTACGGGAAATCCATGGCCGAAACGTGACCACGTTGATACGACGCCGTGTCGTACAACACCTTATCCGGCTGCTATGTCACCTGTGAATGCACCCTCATACCCCCCCATGACTTGTTGTCGTTGACGATGTCATGCTATGTCGTTTCTGTCAGGTTAGTCTACATACCATGTTCCAGGGAAATGGGTGCTCGCATCAAAGCAATGACGCTTCATGCACACTCACGCGTTTCGCATGGACAGCGCCGTGCGCATGTCGAATGCGTGTGTGTGCGGCGGTGTCATTTCCGAGACACCACCATTCCCTGTACGGTTCGCCCGAAGTTCTTGTCTCTCTTTCTTGTGCAGTTTTCTCCGCTAGGGTTGTTGAGGCTCTGAAGGAGTGTCTTGCGGGTGGGCGGGGTGGGATGAGGTGTGTTGTGTGTGTGTTTTCGTCCTATTTATTATGGCGACAGTCCCCCCATTTTTCGTGGTGAGACGTGTACACTTTTCAGCGTATGTATTTAGAGTACTACACTTTTCAGTGTATTTTTTCGTACAATTACAACCATCCAGGGTCACACAGGAGGAGGGGGTAAACACCAGGGCTTTCTTCTTATTATTATTTCTTTTTCATGCCCCACCTTCCTCCCGTGGTGCGTGCTGAATTTTATTTTTATCGCGAGAAGGGTCCAGCCGTCCCTTTCCCTCGTCAACGGTGCTAACGTCGAAGTTTGGTACTCACGAGAGCTTGTCAGCTATATTTCGCCTTCACCCGCACATTTCGTAAGTTTTTCACCTCAGTGGTACGTACAGTTGACCTTAGTCATTCGATCTTTGACCACGCAAACATCTAGAGGACGGGTCACCGTTGTTTCTAGCCCTTTGGTGTTCGGCGAAGCCCTTTGGTGTTCTAACTTGACACAGCTACTCATGACCAGGTGAACGCCGTACGCTTCTAGGCACACGAAAACCCGTGCACCCCGAGAAATGGGGTTCCCGGCAAAAAAAGGCCAATCACCCGCGATTGTTCGATGGGAGTTTCGTTTCATCACCATACACTGCGAAGGAGGGAGGGCCCTCTTTGAACGAACCGGGGCCCACGATGCCCTCCCCTTGGTGCGCACCCACACCTTTGCCCAAGATGGCCAAGAATCGCAAGATCCGGCACCTCCTCATCTTTATCGCACTGAAGAAATTTGGTACATCCACCGTGTGGCGGGTCGAAGCCACCGCTTTATTTGGCCTTCTCTTCTCGTGCATGTAAAGGGCATCATTTCAATCTTGTTTTATCTTGTTTTTTGAGGCAACAAGATGTTAATTTGGTCGAGGGGGGTGAGATGGATTCCATGTAACCAACTGGATGTAGAGGAGTATCGTTAGTTTCGGCAGGAGAGCGAGTTTGAAACACGGAAAAGTGCTGGATTTAGAGATGAACGTTCGGCGAAATCGTTCTTCTTGTATTGTGGAGATCAGGCCTTTTGTCGGATTTGAACGACGAACACAGCAGTGGCGGCGGCAGCGAAGATAATACCTGCTTGCGTCGCAAAAACAAATACTTCCCCAGACACGATGCTCGGCACCACAGCACGCGCCGCAGGAAGGTGGGGCATGAAAAGAAATAAAAAGTAGAAAAAAGCCCTGGTGTTTACCCCCTCCTGTGTGACCCTGGATGGTTGTAGTTGTACGAAAAAATACACTGAAAGGTGTAGTACTCTACATACGCTGAAAAGTGTACTACACGTCTCACCACGAAAGATGGGGGGACTGTCGCCATAATAAATAGGACGAAAACACAACACACACCACAGCAGAGCAGTGACTTCAAATATTATCAACGCTAGCCCGTATTTATCTCGCGTAGACTAAAGGGCTAACTACCGTGGCGGGGCTGCCCCCAGTTCAGTTGTGTGGGGGTGATCAAGGAACTTGACTTTCCTCTTCTTGCTGTGTGCAAAAGGGATGAGACAGACCTTCATTAATTCCACCGGGGAGAGAGAGGAGAAAAAGCGGCAGCAACCAAGAGAGGACGCTCGATCAACCCCTCGCCCATGTGACTTGGCGAACCCGGAATCGTAGCGCATCCTTGAGCGTATGAAGATAGGTGGCGGCGTATATAGTGTGTGTTCATTAGTATCCCAGACAAGATTGATAGTGTGTGTTCATTCGTGTTCCAGACAAGATTGATCTGCCTCTCTCTCCCAGGTTTTTCTTCTCCTGCCCAGCAACCCAGCATCAACGGTTTAAATAGGTCGACGCTTGGAATGCTTCGTGAGCTCCACACCTCACTTCAAGCACGGCGAGCAACCGATGCTCGTGGACATCGACGAAACAGTCGTGACATGTCTCTGCGTAGTTGGTGACGAATGCTCCGCCAAATAACAAATGGCATTGGACACATGGAATTGTTGTGAAGTGTTGGCCTCAGCAGTTTGGGCAGAATAGGGAGTACTCCCAGCCACAGCTGTCTGAATGAGCTACAAAACAAAACTGCTCCGGTTGACATAGTACTTCCGGTTCATATAGTACAACAATAGAGCGCGGCAACACAAAGTTGACGGCCGCGATCAAACGCGAGGCGTAGCTCTCCACATCGTTCTAGTACTCCCGTTCATGATGTCCCGGAACGGGTCGACCACGAACTCCGTACGTATGTAAAACACAACAAACCCGTGTCATGATCCAGATGAACATATTTCACCATGCGTCCATATAGTCTATATTACTCGAGAAAGGCAACTCGCAAGGTCCCCCAACGTATTTCTGGCGTACTTTGGTCGAAACTTGTATCCTATCATACTTCTACATGACAGTTCGGAATGAACGTCACAATTCTCGGTCACTGCGATCATCGGTCCAAGATGTTCACATCGCGCAGCCCACAATCAAATAAAACTACATCCACAAGAAGCGGCGAGTGGTACTCTGAATCTCACGCGAAACCAAAGGCTTCAATACTGATGCAGGGTTCTATCGTGGTTTCATGCTGGGCTTGCTTTGTCTTCCTCCCCTCCCCGACTCTGTACTTTGCCCCCGCGGTAATTCTCCATGTATCTTTCTCGCCCTCACTGCTATTTGTCTGTTGCCCCCCCGTCCCCCCCCGTGTCTCTCTATCGCCCTGTGCGTCTGTCCCTCCGACTGTCCCGTTTCTGCTCCTCCTCTCTTCGTTCTACTCCAGTCACCCCCAAGGACCTCTGCGCGGCCTGCCTCCGCTGCAAAACAAGACCCCGACAAACGCGGGAGAAGAACAGATGAGGTTCAAGCGATTCTACTGTCCTCGAGAGCATGTGTACGATTCCCTTATAGGCATTTGGACAGGCAGCAAAAAGAGACTGAATACGAGAAGCTACATAGGTCGGGCATATTTTGGATATGCGACGCGACGTCTATTGCTGTACGGGTCATTGCAGTGTATACGCCGGAGAACTCTCCTCCTGTAAAGGCCTCGTGCTCCACACTCGCACAATACGCAGTAGCGGCCCGTGCGTCACAACACAATAAAACGGACAAAGAAGCTTTTCGAACGGTCTTCACGTAGTGACCGACAAGGCATTTGCCACAAGGAATCGGGCTCGGCGGAATCCGCGGTAACACAACCTAGACGTATAAGACCGCCCTGCCGTGGGAAAACAGGGAACGGAAAGATGGGAGCTCATGCCCTCCCCAGGGCGATTAGGAACCGCCCACATCACGGCCCGGGTATTGCCGAGCCCCACTTGGGTGTGCCGTGGGGTGAATCTAGAGCGAGCCGGTCTGGGAGGGCAGCAGGGCTCGATGAGAGCCCTCTGAAAATGACAAGAGGTGACACCTTTCGAATGCTCGCGGTGGCCGTGTAATGCGTGTTCCCACAACGCAGTCGAGGTGTACCGTGTGCGTGGGAAAACGATCAACACGTCCTGGATGTTGCTATCTTATTACGAACTCGGAAGACACGATTCTGAGCTAACGTAGACAAGGTTTTCAACCTCACCCCAAAAGTTAAGTTTCTCATCAGCAGGCCGTCACTGCTGTAGATTGCTGGCCATGATCCATTTGGTTCAACAAACTCAATACTTGGAACGTTCCAAGAGAGAACTGCCACGAGAACATCACACAAAATACCTGCCCGGTTCAGGTGGGGGTGGCATCTTGCCGCGATGCCTCCTAGGCCACGGAGACTGTTCCGCCAACCGTTCCTCCCTCGCGTACAGCACGAGCTGACGCCGTGTCCGAGTAAAACACCAGTCGTGCCAGGAGCACAAACAGACGAGGTGACGGCGTTAGGGGAAGGGAGTTGTCTCAAAACCTATTTCATGAGCTCTTGTTACGTTTTGCAAGGATGGTACGCCAACAGCCAAGGCCGATATCGTTCTCGGGCGGGGTGGAACACCTGCTGCAAACGTGGCCACATATCGCATCGAAAACTGCACCCCAAAAAGGCCGATAAATCAGGTTGTCTCGGCTGACTAGAACTTTTCTCTGCCTCGCGACATCGGAAGATCAAACTACAAAACCAACGTCAAATTCTAGCCCCTATCCAGTCACGGCCTCGAGTATCCAGTCACTCATGTATTCGCAAGTACACGAGCTCGAGGAGGCGGCGAATCAAGCCGGGGCGGTAAGAAAAGGCAGAGGGCCACGATGGCGTTTGGTGCGTCCTCTTGCCTGATGATCCGGCGCGTGCTGGTAAAATTGCCTGTTGAAGCAGTCTCCACAGATGAAGAACCCTTTGCACACCTGGAAACGATGTTGGTCCAAAACATTATGCATTCATCGCTTACTGAGCAGGGACATCGTGCAGCAGAGCGCCGTATGTCCGCGGATAGCGCAACCCCCGGTCGGAATACGGTCGGCTTACACGACGATTGCTCACATCTCGATGGTCGACAAAAAGCTGAAAAATGAAGGCCGTAACGACAGATCCGCGCACCGACGCTGAACTGCCCGAACGCACACGGCCTATCCTTTCAAACCTTTTCCGAACAACTAGTTGGAACTCACGATCATCGTTTCGCTCCTGAACAAGTGATCTCGAGCCCCAAACCTGACCAAATGAACTCGAACTCCAAACGCTCACTCGTATTCCCCCGACATCTACGATAAAATTCCACAGTAGTAGGTACACAGGCGTTTCTATGCAAACGCTTTGTCGAGAGCTCTCTCGGTCGCCTGCGAAAGCACTTACTTCTAGGCCCACCGAAAATTTCCGCTTCCAATGCCGATGCGGTCCAGGTGATCGCAGGTGGCAACAAACATGGTGCGGTAGGCGTATGTGTTGTGCAGTTATTGTCAGTAGTGTATCTCAGCTTCTTCATCGCACACCAAACATGTTGCGGTAAGCGCACGTGTCCAACAGATATTGACGTTGTACGCGATCTCAGCTTCTTCGTCGCACACCTTGCAGGTGACGGCAAAGTTCGGCCTCCGCGAACGGTACAGGACGTCCGGTCTGCCGTGACGTGGTAACACGCCGTCGGAACACACACAAGAAGGAGAGGGAGGCGTGAGAGGAGAGGGGACGATAGGAACAGGGCAACAATGCACGCCGAATGATGTGCATCCGAACGCGTACTTCACCACCATCTTATATCCTCTGTTGGTTCGATCAGCCAATGCGAGGTTGTCTAGGTGAACAACAACTCCATGAATGATTCGGCCTGTCTCTTCTCCCTGCGATCAGGTGCCTATCACTCCTGCATCGTGCGGAATCGGGAATCCGTCAAATGCATAATGTGCCTCCTTGCTTCCTTGATGATGCCCGCGGTGCAGCGCGCTTGGGCCCAACCCACGCAAAACCTCTGCTTCCGTTCGGACAGAACAATTTAACTCACGCGACCCTTACCTGTTGGAGTGCGTGTCCTCCAGCAGTGGGCTCTTGCCGCAAGCCTCGCACGTCATCGTTCTGGACCTGCTCGCCTGTAGGTCGTATGATAGGTGAGACGATCGGAGTCCGAACGCAAGGTGGTGTTACCCGGTCGCAATCAGTACGCCCCTTCCCGACTAGAGGCGTCAATTTGTAGGCCCAAGCCCAGCCAGTGGTGCTGGGCAGTGGAACCATAGAATTGCAGTCGCACTGAACGGGTTGCACGTGTACGTACAAGAAGCAGTCGACGAGAGCAGCCCGATGGATGCCTGTTTCAGTGTTTCGCTAGAATGAGCCGCAGCACGACAGCCAGGAGGCTTGTAGACAAAAACGCGCTAAAATTCTTGCATCCATTAACGCTGGGTTTTCGCAAGACGTTCCTTGGGTTCTGGATGGGAACTTTCTCAAGCCCGAGGCATATGATAGCCACAGATGTCTCTGGAATGAGAGTTCCACACCTACCTCGCGCGGCCTTGGTTCGGTGCCAGTATTAGGATGCGAGGCTGCCGGTGCCGCCGCGGCTGCACCAGCTACTCCACCACCTCCTCGACGGCGTGCCCGTATGTTCTTAAGACGCTGTCGGCATCAAGCAAAGACGCGGTGAACCGCACGCGTGGGGTTAGTTTCGTGACGTGCAACATCAACGCCAGAAAAGGCTTGCGCATCTCACGTACCCACACGTTGAGTAACAAACGTCAGGACCAACTCATCGATGGGATCTTGACATATTTTCTCAAGTAAATACTTGTAAACACAAAACGACTACGAAGACATTCGCAGCTCGTCGACATCGGCCAATTGGTTCAAACCGACACACTAACGGGTGCGAACCACAACGTGTGCACGCAAGATGCAGGCATTCTTCGACAGGGGCGGTTAGGTTTCAGCTCCAAAGTTTGCACATCAACCTGCGCCTAGCATGTCCCCCATCATTCGACCTATCCCCCGTTTAATGCGTCCAAAAAACTCACCACACCACAACCGTCACGCACGAACTCACCTGCAGAGTGAATTCGGCACACCTTCTACCATGGTCCGTCAAAGGGTCCAGCAGCAGCACCGCCGTACCGTCCTCCTGGCTCAGCGTATGCACGCATGGGTCGACGTTTTCGAGCGGGAGAAGCAAGATGCGGCGCAATGGGGTGCAGTTGCGCGAAAGACGAGAAGAGAGGGAAACGTCAGGGACGTGTGCGGGCCGCCCGTTCTGTTAATCTGTAATGAGTACCGTGTACAGAGCACGTTCCGAGATTTCGCTTGGACATGGTGCTTGGTCGAAGAGCGGACGGAAAGCAAGACATCCGGCACGACATCCAAAGCAGCTGAGCTTCTTCGCATGATAAACGACCCTGTGCACTTGCCTCGCGGTCCTCTCGAAAACCAATGGCGAGGAAGGCCGTCCTAATGCCCGGCTGGAGCCAGACCTCGCTCGAAAACCTCCTTCCTCAAGAGCGTTAAATTCAAAAGACAAATGTCAATATTAGATGTCTGCAATATCTTAACGCCAGCCCTCTAGTGCGAACCAGGACGAGTCGACAAGCTCACGTCAACGTATGCAAAGGGGCAGTAATGTTAGATACTTTGCGTTTACGTCTTCCTGTTCAGTCCAAACGAGTAATAATAGACTAGAGACGCGCGGAATGGTAGAAACAACAATACAGGTCACATAACATCATGAACCCATCGTGAGGCGTCTGGTCTACGGATAGAGAGGACGTCGTCCGGCGCGTGAAAGAGGTTGTAGTTATTTCTCTGGGCTAGTCGGCCGGGGCACACACAAAGCAGGCCACACACAGCAGCAGGAGCTTTTTTTTCTCCACCTTACGCTTGCGGTGCTTCCCTTTGGTATTTGCATCGTAAGAAGGATTCAGTCACTCCCGTCGCTCGACCGTAGACCGGTGCACACGAGTTCTTAGGCACAGAAAACAACAGAATATGGTCATAAAGTCTAATGTATTCATGACCAAAGTGAAGGGAGAAGAAATCACTGTAGTCCAAGGGATGATAGATATCAAGTCACCAAGATAAAAACATGAGCTCTCCTACGCACCGATTGGCTTTGTTTATCTTTCGATACTTGGGTTCGTCTGGGTGGTTGACGACATTCTCGAGGTATCGGATCGCGATAGTGCCGTCCTCCAACCTGTCCCACGACGATGAGTCGGGCAAAGAGAGCGCGGGTGAGTGAGTATTAACAGATGAGGGAGATGTTTGTTTGTTGGCGGACGACCACCAATACGCGCCTCGACCAACGACAGCGGGCAAAAGCGTAATAGAGGGCGCCTCTCGGCAAGCCGAGGGTGCGTGGGTACGGCAAGCCGAGGGTGCGTGGGTGCAGCAGACGTACAGCAGTAGCTCTGGCTCAAGATTCTGCCTCGATTCGACTCTCCCGTGTCCCGGCATGCATGAGCGCCGACACTCACCGCTGGTCCACATCTTCAAGTATTCTAGCTAGCGTCTCCAGATCGTCTCGCGGCATACCTGTTATGGCGAGTGGGCAAGAGCGAGAATCTGCGCCTGTCTGTTATATGCAGAGGGCACCGCCGTGCTAGGGACAGACCTGCAGAGCTTTCAGCAGAGAGCCAGTCCGGGGCTCCGCACATTACTTTTAGGCAACGTATTGTAGGGTAACCCTCATATCCCCCACCCCCACTGTTGTACTGCCTGTGCGGGCTGCTGGATGTTGCAGATCAGATTGGAGACAGACACACGGGTCCCACAGCTGCGCGCACACACATTCATCGCTGTCAGTGTCCGTCATGTTTAAAACGGATAAGGATCTCAAGCTTGGATCGAGACGTCAGGGTCGGTGAGCGTGTCAGCGTTGACGACAAGCTAGTCTTTCTGTGAGGTTATGTTTACCACGGCTGTGGTACTTTCTAAAAAAGTCGATTGCTTCACGAAATAGTCTTGCCGCATCTTGCCTGTACACACTAAAATACTTATACGGTGCACGCAGTGATGAAGCCCGATACAGTTGGCCCTCTGTAACTTTCGATTGCGGTGGCGGAAAACAAAAATAAAGCATATTTTGAACGCCCGCGGCAAGGCGTATGAGAGTAGAGCGATTAAAAAAAAAAAAAGGGGAAAAAGTGGGCGGGGGCAAGTCTCGAACCCGCGAAATGGCGTAAACTTGGTCGATTTTTTTTTTCCTGCTTCTTTTTGTCCGGCAATATTCGTTCGTTCTGCGGGCACTAAATGCCAGCATCGGTGCTGAAACCAAGCCCTATTGCCACAAGGAAACCTGTAACAACTTTTTTACGTTCAATCACGAGACAAACGTCCGGAATCCACAAAAAAATCAACAAAATGCCTAAAAAGTGGCTAAAAAATGGCATAAGCGCCGAAAATGTAACGTAAACAGAGGATAAAAAAGTAAAAAACTCAACCAATGGTGGACACCCCCTTAGGCTTTAGGTACTCGGATGGTACTGGCTTCCTGTGCGACTTGTACACCTTGTACTGCTTCTCTCCCTCAGGGCCTACAGCACCCGTTCTTAGGTACACAAGGTCGTGTCGCGTTCCCGTCTAACGGCTACTGCGAGACGGTACTTCCGCGGGGCCTTGCTGTCGATAGAGATGTTGCTCATTGCGTATCCATCCGGACGTGTGTTCTGCACATGCTGGTACTCGTATAAGCCCTCTCCGAACTTCATGTCTCTCGTGGTCGCCTTCCCACACCCCACCGGGCCGCACACGCCAAAGTGCAGAATTTGCAGAATTTGAAAATTGAAAAAATGCGTGCGCTCGCCACGCGACCCAAATCTGGAAACGACACTTTTTGGGACCAACTGACAGCAAAGTCCCTAAAAAACGATTTTTTTTTTTGCACAGCCCACTGGGGGCCTCGCAAATGAAGATTTTGCATTTTCGCGGCGATTCCTCCGAGAACTTCAAGTGAGCAGAACTCGTGTGCATGGAGTCTGTGAAAAGTAAAAGTGGGTGCGTTCGAAAGCCCAGGTACATAGCTTTCATTTGGTATCTAGTTTGTTCGAGCACCAAAAAAGTTTCAGTTTGTGCTGTATTGGGCTTCATCACNAGGCTGGATACGATGTCAGGTGTTCGATGGTTGGTGTTGTGGATGGGACCCAGAGTTCCGTCATCATTGAAAACCGGAAGCAGGAAGGGAGCCACCGAACTCTGAAGGACACACTCCACGCCACCTCCTGAAAGAACGTAACGGACTGCTCGACGTTCCCACGACGCTGCTTCTGCCCGTGGAACATCATAATACAATCTTAGAAACGAAAGGAAAAAGAGCATTATCCCCTAGAAATTGAAATTTTGAGGTTGGAACAGGAGGAGGGGAGTCATGTACATGAAAAACGCGATTGACCTGAAAAAGGTTTTTCCCTAGGAAAGAGAATCCGATATGCGCAAGAGACTTGCGCAGAGACTACTCCGATCCGGTAGAAAACCGGGGTTAGTCTAGTAGTCCTTAAAAAACGAAACGATTGGCCTGAAAAAGGTGTACCTAGGAAAGAGAATCCGACATGCGCAAGAGACTTGCGCAGAGACTACTCCGATCCGGTAGAAAACCTGGGTTAGTCTAGTAGTCCTTAAAAAACGAAACGATTGGCCTGAAAAAGGTGTGCCTAGGAAAGAGAATCCGACATGCGCAAGAGACTTGCGCAAGAGACTACTCCGCCCCCGTAGAAAAGCTGCGTGAGTAGTCCCTAGAAAACGAAACGAAATGTTCACAGACATGAAACGCGATTGCTTTTCTAGGAAAAAGAAAGAGAAAAAGACATGCGCATAGACCCCCCTCCTAGGAAAGCAGACAGGCGTAGAGACTACTCCGCCCGTGTAGAGAACGAGATATATAGGTGACTGCAATACTGATCGAACTCAGCTTGATCCCGCTCGAATTGTGCGAGTTGATCTGCGTGGTCGTGATGCTGATGGCGATTGTCGGTGGCGATCCATGGCGATTAAACCATTCCAGGCAGAATCGGTGTAGAACATTTCTTCATAGAGTTCTGCGTAGTGCTTCGTGAGGAGAGTTTCGTAGAGCTCGTATTGTAGGAGTTGGGGGTCACACGCCATAAACCTGTGGGTTTTAGACCTGTGGGGATAAGTGGGGTTGAGGAGGAGGAGGAGGAGGAGGAGTTAGTACGCAGGACGAATAATGGAGAGTTGCTTCATTATAGAGGAGGTGAAGTGCAGAGAGATTGGCGGCGTTTGGATCGGGTAGGGAATTAGGCGAAATGAAAAAGTGGATGGTAATGTTGTAGGTGCGTTCGGTTGCGAAAATTTCGGGCTGGCCAAGATATGCTCTGGGATGGGACATAATCTGGAGGTAATTGTTGTAAGAGGTGTACTGGCGTGCACCTTCCCCGAGAATGTTAAGGTACTCAGAATTAATTCCTGTTGTGATGATATCTTGAAGGTGGGAATCGTTTTGATGTTGGCGCATGTATCGGAGAACTTCGGAGCGGACTTGGGCGTGTTTGTTAGGATCGTTGTATATGCGTCTTGAAATAGCGCGAAAGCCGCAGGCACCATCACCAATCTCACTGATAGTAGACCATATCCTTTGTGGTGGGGTAGGAGGGTTTGGAAGCGAAGGTTGAGAGGAGCTGGAAGTTTTAGATGTATCTGGCGGAGGCGAGGGAGTGGGAGATGTGTGACCGGTGGCGGCTTCTGTGAAAGGATCATAGACGCAGTTTTCAACGTGTGCTGTGGAATTGAGGACATGGGTATGAGCTACGAGGATCATAACAGATGTTCGATTTTTTGCTCTACTTAGGGCGACATAGAGCTGTCCGTGCGAGAAGCAGTCGTAACGCAAGTCTAGACCAATACGAGACAAAGTTTGACCCTGGCTTTTGTTAATTGTTAAGAGAATATGCTATTCTCAAAAGGAAACTGAACACGGTTAAAGGTAATGTCATTTCTTCCTACTTGAGCGTGGAACGAAATACGAGGAATGAGGACGATGGAGTGATCACTTAATAGTTCCACTCGGACTACGCGAGAGTTTGGGGATACTCCCCGAATGACAACCTTTTGGCCGTTGACGAGGCCCTCGGAAAAATTTAATTCCTAATCAACATTGCCAGAGCATCCGATTTGATTTGTAACTGATGGGGAGGAACGCCGGGGATGTCCATGTTATTGAGATGTTCAGTTGAGCAGAAGGCGGTGGATGATGCAGGGTTGTTATGATCTTTTATGAGTGTGTCAGAACTGTGGGAGGTAACGTTGTCGCCATGGCGTCTGGAAGATATGGCGTCGTTGCATGAGTCGATGGGAGTGTTGGTGGTTGCTAGGATAGCGCGGTCATTAAGGTGGCGAGCGTCTTCATGGATATCAGGGTAAACGAAGTTGATTAAGTCGTTGAAATCTGTGGTGTACTGCAATGAGAAAGTGGTCCGTGGTGGAGGTGTCATGGGTGTTTGATAGCGGAACGAGTTTGGCACCGTCGCTAACGGCAGTCGTTGGGTGTATGTTATCGCCGATGGATCGGACGAAGGAAGCGTAGGCAGGGTCTTCTTTGTCTGTTTTGGACATTGTTAGGCGCATACGTTTTGTTTTTGGCCATAAGGTCGCTTGAGATGAAGGGTGCTTCTACTGTGTCAGCGGGGGTAGCGAAGGGCACAACACGGCCACACTGGCGCCGGTCGCCTGAGAAGCAAATGGTGATGCCACCGTACAAAGCTTCGGAGCGTCTGATGTCTCGCAAAGTCCGCTCCAGAGCCTCTAATACAGTAGCGGTGTGTCATGGGTAGCTCGTCGAAAATAATAAGGTTACATTTTCGAATGAGTTCGGCACGTTGTGACTCGCTGTTTATGTCGCAGAAGGCTCCATCGACAACTTTTTCATTGAGGGGAAGTTTGAACATTGAGTGAGCGGTCCAACCGCCAGGAAGTTGAAGTGCTGCGATGCCGGTGGAGGCGACTATTAACACTGTAAAACCTTCGCCTCTTAATCGAGCAGCGATAACTTTCTCGGTGTGGGATTTGCCGGTACCAGCAGGGGCGTCAATCATGAAAGGCTAAGGCTGATTGTTCCGAACGGCGTCGACTATTGCGTTGTAGACCACTCTCTGCTCTGATGTTAAACCAGGCTCGAACCTGTGGGCGTAAGCTGTTTGTTCGGAGGGGTCCAAAGAAGCGATCATGCGTTGGTACTCGGTCTGTCGGTGTGTTGGTTTCGGGAGTCCAAGCTGTCCGTTGGTTTTGCCGTGTTGCTGCAGTTTTAAATCGATAATACGCAATACTTCCCGGCAAGCGTCGGTATTGTCTAGGGTACGCGTGAAGTCTTGAATGCGGTGTTCTTTGCAGTCATTCCATAGCATAGGCGCGGGGCCACCGTCCAAAATGAGAGTAATGAAGAGACCGCGTAGTTGAGAGGGCATTTCGAAGGTGATGGCTTCTTCCTTGCATATGAAATATTCTTCCTGGCCTGATACCAGCCCTTGGGCTCTAGCAGAAGCTTGAAATGTGGAGTGTTCGGTGGTTACACCAGACGGTGAAGTGACTGTTCGTAAATCGGAGAAAGTCCTAGCAGATCTTTTGTGGAGGAGGAGCCGTAGGTAATAAAGGTCGCCAACCGCGGGAGACTGAAAATTGATGCGACAAACGTGGGACTTATTTTTTTGGGAGACGGTGTTGCCGTAGCAATCCAACCATTTGCCTGGTGGGGCGGAAGTAGGGATAGGATGTCTTTTTTCTTTCTGGTGATGTTGTACATCTCAAAGTAGTCTAGCAACGTTAGGTTGTTGAAGAGATCATCGAGTGGCCGTCTGAAGTATCTCATGAGGTCAGACACAGCGTCCTCTGCACATTGACGACGCTCTTCGCATT